TCTGTTGTGGAACTCAGCTGCCATGCGGTGAAGAAGCTCAAGCTAATGAAGTAGAGAGACTACAGGGATTGAGAGAGGAGAGGGAAAGAGGAGAGGGGACGTTATAGCCAAAATAAGACACATGAACATCCAAGGTATCTTAATGCCTAAGTGTGGTGTCTCAGCTGGGAAAGCTGGTGAATAGTATGGCATATCATATACTCTCCCTCTTCCTACTCCATTCCCTACTCTCTCTCCCTCCCCTCCCCTCCTCTCTGCCCCACCCCCTTATGCTCCTTTCTAAGTTTTCTCTTTCTTCTTCCTAATTTATAGCTGCCCTTTTTATTTTTTGTCAGTCAGACTTTGTCTGGTTTTCAATGACCCAACCAATTCTAGCCTTTGGCTGTGCTCTGTATTCTTAGTAACTACAGGCACCTCCTTCAACCTCTCTCCAGACCACAGGTAAATAAGAGCTCAGAGCAGACTCTTCACTAAGGTCAAAAGTTTATACTCATTTAACTCATAATTCTTTTTTTTTTAACCTGATAAAAGTCATTAGGCAATAGGAACCAATAACTTCATATTCAGATAATAAATTATGCAGCAAGGAAAACATACCTCCTACTTTTCCTCAGACTTTACTAATCCTCTTTATATCATGTCTTATTCTTTTAACCCCCATGACCCATTCCTCATACTTCACTCATTATATTTATCTTAATCTATCCTGAATCATAATAATAGGTTTATTTAACTTCCTACTAGATTCAAAACTCTAAGAAGAGAGGCTCACTGAGAAAAGGAGCATCTTACTCATTGTTGTAATCCCTTAAATTAAGCATTTACTAAAAGTATGGTACAAAATCTGGGTGCACTCTATCCACAACTAATCTTTGCAATTCTCATCTCCATTTTTATTAGGAAATAATGACTCACCCATAGTTATAATGCTATCAGAGACAGAGTTAATGAACACTACATGTACTAACATTAACTTTAACAATTATTTAACTTAAGAATTATTCTACTTTTGTAGACCGTAAGTTCATTTTTTAAGGGGAAAAAAGGTATTATTTAAATTCATTATTTCTTTTTCCTTTGTTTCAGGCCTGAGAAGCCTTATTAGGTTCAGGGTCAGATCTTGGCCAGATGCCAGGCAAATAATATCAATGGCAAAGCAAAACTGGTGGAGACTACAGCAAAATGGAAAACTCAGACCCCACCTCAAAGAGACAACCTCCACTGGGCTCTAGCAATCTACTCTCAAACAGAAACAGCAACCTCTGATTTCTCAAGAGATGCTGGAAATTGAGGCTTCTTAAATGTGAAGTCTTCCAATTTTTTTTTTAAATAGATTGTTATTGATTTAGGAGGGAGAGAGAGAGAGAAACATCAGTACACCCCACACTGGGGATTGAGCCTGCAACCTGGGCATGTGCGCTGATTGGGAATTGAACTGTGACCTCCTGGTTCATAGGTCAATGCTAAACCACTGAACTAACTATGCTAAAGTCTTCCAATGTTTAAATGGTAACAACTCATTACAACAAGTCCCAAATACACTAAAAGCAAACCATATAGTAGTATATCTGTGGATTGGATTCAGTTCAAGGATGTTCTGCTGCTGCAGACTCATAATTCACGCGCGCGCGCATACACACGCGTATACACACACACACACACACACACACACACACACTGTATGTAACTATCTCTCTCTCTCTCTCTCTCTCTCTCTCTCTATATATATATATATATATATATATATATATATATATTTTTTTTTTTTTTAAGGTATACTAAGACACCAACATTCCTTTACTTTCTCTCGCTCACCTTTAGGTGGAAAAATAGAAAAAATAATAAGAACAATGAGAAGCAGCTTCATAAAATTATCGGGAGTACCAGTGACAAACTCCTTTAATTTAATCTTTTTCTCTCTTGAAAAAGAAATTTGTTAGCAGTTTTTTTTTTAATTGATTTTTACACAGAGAGGAATTGAGAGGGACAGAGAGTTAGAAACGTCGATGAGGGAAACATCGACCAGCTGCCTCTTGCACACCCCCTACTGGGGATGTATGTGCCCGCAACCCAGGTACATGCCCTTGACTGGAATCGAACCCGGGACCTTTCAGTCCGCAGGCCGACGCTCTATCCACTGAGCCAAACCGGTCCTGGCTTGTTAGCAGTTTTAAATATAGAAACTTCTTAGCATAAAAATATATGGAAATAAGATTTTATTTTTAAAATTTTTTCCTCAGAACTTGCAGAAAGAAAAATATTCAAACCTTTCTGGCCTTAACAAAACTAATAAACATAAGACCAATGATTCACCATGCACACAGAAAAAACAGATACAAAATACTAATGGCATTACTATATTTACACTGGTCAATCTACATACATACAGTCACTTGACTCTCTTAAGACCAACAGCACCAAACTAGCCAGATACAAAGCTGAACTCTATGACCAGGGAACCTCAGCCTAGCAAACCACTGTGGACTCAATCCAGTACCTGAAGCTCCTACCATTTGAGCGGAATCATGGTATCAACAAGACAATCCATTACTAGTAATCAAATATTAATTTAGTCCAAAACATTTAATACTTTTATGAAAGATTTGTCATTATTTAACCAAGGGATTAAGGCATTGTTCTTTCATTTAAAACTAAGAATAGAAAACCTGAACTTCATCTCTAAACCTGCTTAACTTTATGAAGTTAAAATAAAATTTTTAATATAATTATTGTAGACAGGCCTTTGGAGTTCAAAACATTCTCTAAGATAGCTATTAGTAAGGGATTCCCTATAACAACAGAATTAGTAGGCAATTTAATGATAATAAAATTATGTTATTGTTACTTTGGGAGACCATTTATTGAACACTTAACTATATATGTCAGGTACTGTTACTGAATATGTTCAGGGTTCCCATTAAACCTTGAAAACAACCACATGAGGAGGGTACCATTATTATCCCCATTTTACAGATGGGGAAACTGACCTTTCCAAGATCACACAGCTAGTAAGTGGTAGTGTCAGGATTCCAACCCAAATCTTGTCTAACTTCAGAATTTTCACGCTTAACCACTACACTGTATTGCCTCCAGTAACTTTGGGTTGATATCTAAGATAAAGAAAAAAGGGAAATTTGTACTTCTCAGTGGAAAATTTAAAAACATACTAGAAATGGAGGATACTTTTTAAAATAAAACAAATCTCATAGTCACAAATATTTGTGTTCTCAAATACATATAATAATGAAAATCTCACACAATGAACTCCTCACAAACACAATTTTTCCTATGTAATCATTCATGTTTATTATTAAAAATTTAATGGGAAGGCTCTGTATTCTCTGCTCAATTTTGCTATCAACCTAAAACTGCTCTATTAAATAAATTGTACTTTTTAAAAATTTAAAGCTACAATATACTAAATATACCTAATTTAATTCAGTTATGAACTAGCATAAGACTATATTCTTTTCAGTATAAAAAGTTGTACTTTGTTTATTATAACCACAGGGCTGAGCATATAGTGGGCACTTTATATTTGACTGATTTTATTTTATTTTATTTTTTGCCAAAAGGCTTGAAGATGTGTAACAGTGTGTAAAATTATAACTGTACCACTCTCTGAACACCTTCAGAAAAAGTCTGCAATACTAGACATGACCTAAGTTAAGATAAAATTAGACCAAAAAAGGAACTCTATTGAACAATATAAAAGGAATACTATACCCTATACCATGGCTGACATAAGATTAACTTCATTTTTCTACTGTCAAAAGATATAGTCATCAGTCAAAATAGATTAGTATTACAAAATCATTTCCTAATTTAATTGCTTCTAAATCCTCTAAAGAAATATACCACCCCACCCCCCAAAATAATACTTCGTGTGTCAACATATGAACCAAATCTTTTTTCCTCTGATACTCACCAAGGTTGCCAAATCCTAAAAAAGTCAATTAGGACAGATGTGAGAGATTTATAAAACAAGTTTTGCCTACGGTACTATACCACTTCCCATCAACATTTCCTCTCTATATAAGTTCATACCTAAATTCACTTATGAAGGGAACAAGAGGAAGTTACACTATACAGAAAAGTCGTTGTTCTATATATTCTGCAGTACTGTCAAAATTAATTTAGAAATATAATACTGTATTGGTCACCAACAAAAAGTGTTGAAGGGAAGCACGCTCTTAATTTTATTTCAACGCTGTACTTACAAAGTCTCAACTACAAAAAAAAAATCGCACTAATATTAACAAATGAGAACTCTAAGGCACAAGTTACATATACTGCTGGAGTATGGGCCCTTAAACACACCTGTAATTCATCAATCTCCTTTCCTTTCTCGCTGACCCACGTCTTCCTAAGGGATCCAGACTTTTCTTTTTTTCTTTTTCTTTTTCTTTTTTTGCATCGCTATGCTTTCAGCGGACTCAAGTTTGGATTTGCAGTTGCAACAAAAACAACGCATTCCGACCAAGACATGTTTCAAACGATATTAGCGCAACACCCATTCACACACTCCTATTCCAAGCTTCTGGCTGATCAATCACCTAGCTTCCACAAGGAACACACGCAGGTTGACACTTAACAGAATAAACCACAGCTGCCTCGGTAACTGCAAGCTCAGCGGAACCCCCGAACGCCGCTCACTTTGGAAGGGGCAGAACCATATCCGGTTCTCACCTGACACACGTTTTCCCAAGCTTCCCATCTTTAAAACAACTCTGCATCTTACACACACACACACGCACACACACACACACACACACACACACGCGCGCGCCAGGGAGGTTAGAGTAAGCCTGTAGGTAGGGAAGATAAGCGATCCAATCTACGCATGGAACCTGAAGCTTCAAAACTTTTCCCGACAAATCAATCACAGCTGACAGAGCAGGAGCATGCTGCCCCCAACTTCTCCCCGGGAGCCGGCTTCCCCGGCCCCCCGCTACCTCCCCCCACCTCCCCCCCTCCCCCAGGCAGCGGGCTTCACTCACTGGTTGGTCGGAGGAGCGGTCAGCGGGATGGCCACCTCTTCTTCCTCGTATTCCGGTCCATCCAGAGAGTCCCCTTCGTCCACGGCGCCCAGGCCCGCGCCCAGAGCCGGCAGGTGGGGAGGCGGCGGCAGAGGAGGGAAGGTCTCGCCGGGCAACGAAGCGGCGGTCCCCTTGGGCAGAGCCATCTCCCCGCCGGGTCCCGCGGCGGCGGCGGCGGCGCCTCCCCCTGACAGTCCGGCTCCCGCCAGCGCCCCGGACCCGGACCCGGCTCCCAGGAGCCCCGGTCCCAGAGCCGCTCCGCCATCCAGCGTCCCGGCGGCCACTCTGCCCTCCGCCGACAGCCCGGCATAGGGGGCGGCGGCCGCCACCGGCAGGGCCGCGGGGATCTTCACCCGACACGCCGCCGCCGCCGGGTAGGAACCGGCGCCCGCGGCCGCGCCGCCGCCGCCCGCCGCCCCGGCGGCCACCGGGCCGCCCTCCTCACCGCCGGCCTCGGCCGCCATCATGTTGAAGCCCGGCCCGCCCGGGAGCCCCGCGGGCCACCAGGCCCGGGCTCCGAGCCGCCCCGCCGGGCGGGTCCCCCCTCCCCCGGCCAGTCAGTACTCCGGGCGGAGGAAACAACAACAAAAGGAGGGAGCCCGCCGCCCGCCGCGCCCCCTCCCCGGGCCACAGCCCCGGCTCCCGGGTTACGGGAAGCGAAGTGGGCAAAAAAGCCCCGGCGCCGGCACCAACGCCGCCCAAGCCTTCCCCGCGGACACCCACACTCACGCGCGCACACATGCACGGGAGCGAGAAACTTCCTGGCTGTGCCCTCAGGAGGAAGGGAAGCGCCGGGAGAGCGGCGGGGCAGCTGCCGCCCCTCCGGCCGCCGCCGCCGCCGCCGCCTCACCACCCGAGTTCCGGCCACCCCCACCGCAGCCACCGCCGGGGCCGCTGCCGGGGCTGCGGCCGCTGCCGCCGCCGCATCGTCCACCGCCGGGCAGGAGACGGCCGGGAGGGGTGGGGAGAGGAGAGGAAGGGGGCGGGGCAGCGGGGAAAGGGACTGAGCGGCTCCCGGCCGGAGCTCCCAGTGAAACCGACGCGGAGAGAGAAAGGAGGGCGGGGCGCCGGCGGAGGGGGCGGGGCGAAGGAAGGGCGGGGACGGCGGGAGCGCGCCTCTGCGCAGGCGCGGGCGGGGGCGGAGGCGGGGCCCGAGGGAGGGGCGGGAAGCGTCGGGAGCGGAGGAAGCGCGGGGACGCGCTCGCGGTCCCGCTCCGGGGAGAGCGCGTGGCGGCGAGGCCGCTTTCCCCAGTCCGTGCGGTCCGTCTCCCCGGGCTTTGTCTGAGGGGGGCCGGTGGGAAGAAGGACGGGAGAAGCCGGGGTGCCTAAGCCGCAGCCGCCCGGCGTCGTGGGCGCCGGGGAGACCGGCGGGCGCAGGGGCGGCGGGAGGAAGAGCAGGGGGAAAGGGAAGGACGGTGCGCGGAGCCGGGCAGGTCCAGCTTCCTGACCCAGCCCGGCGGGCGGCGCAGGGACCAGTGGCCAAGGCCCGGCTAAGGCGAGGTTTGCAGATTGCTGCCAAGGTGCAGGCAGTACTCTAATGAGATTTTCATTTTTTGTTCCATCATCTAAATCGTTAAAGGGCTGTTACACACATAAAATACTGGGTTCTGGAACTCCGGAAAACACAACGGGATAAGGGCGGTGCCATGTGGAGAATAAGGTGACCAGATGTCCTGCTTTTGGCGGGACAGTCCCGATTTTTAACCATTTGTCCAGCGGCGTTTTTTCTTTAAAAAAAAAAAAAAAAAATGCCGCTGGGCAAATGGTTAAAAACCGGGATGTCTGGTCACCTTAATTGGGAAGGCTAAGAATTTGGGTAGGAATAATGGTTGGGAAAGTCCGATTTCTACAACTACACACGTTTTCTTCACCGCGCCCCCCTCCCCCACGCCCCTCGCTCTGGCGCCCGCGCGCGCACACCTGTGCCATTCATTAAAAATCTGGTAGATGTCAATGGAGGGTGAAGAGGAGGGGTGCCACACAGGATCCCAATCAACGCTCTTTTGTCCTCATGTGAAAAAAACACAGCGGAGCATGCTCCACCATGCATGCGTGATGATGCACAGAGCACCTTCAGCACCACCAATGTCAAAGAGGGTCCTTAAAGTGCAATTATGTGTAGTTCAAAAATTACCAATAAATTGAAATCTCACCCTTAATATATCCAAAGAGAAGGGTTTTGTTTTCTTTTATACTGGAATATACTGTGTGTAAACAATTATAAAGCATTCATATACTAGTAGGTGGAGGAATCATCCCTTTTATTTGAAATTACAGTTCAGGTAATTTGCTTTTTTTTTTTTTTTTGACTCATATTGTTCTTATCTTTTAAATTCTCCCAGGAAGAATCCCATATTAAATACCATTGAATATTGATATTTGAGATCAATATTTTTTCTGCTAAGGATGATCATACCAACATAAGAGCATACTGGCTGTGGGAAAGGTCCAGGGCAAAAGCAAAAGACCACCGAAAGAGGTAGCAAGGTGCTGCAAGAGCCGAAACTGGTTTGGCTCAGTGGATAGAGACTCGGCCTGCGGACTGAGAGGTCCCAGGTTCGATTCTGGTCAAGGGCATGTACATTGGTTGCAGGCACATCCCCAGTAGAGGGTGTGCGGGAGGCAGCTGATTGATGTTTCTAGCACTCTATCCCTCTCCCTTTCTCTCTGTAAAAAGATCAATAAAATTATATATATTTTTTTTAAAAGTTGCTGCAAGCCGAAACCGGTTTGGCTCAGTGGATAGAGCGTCACTGAAAGGTCCTGGGATCAATTCTGGTCAAGGGCATGTATCTTGGTTGTGGGCACATCCCCAGTGGAGGGGGTGCAGGAGGCAGCTGATCGATGATTCTCTCTCATTGATGTTCCTAACTCTCTATCCCTCTCTCTTCCTCTCTGTAAAAAAAATCAATAAAATATATATATTAAAAAAAAAAAGGTGCTGCAAGACATTTTATTTTACTCTAAAAGTCTGAATAAGCCTATTTACCAAACCAGTGACAAACTTGATTTAACAGTAATCATGAGGACCCCTCATTGTGCTTACCTATTTTGCCATATACTCCTTGGGAGGATGGAGATGGAGTCTCAAGGGTGGTCTCAAGCCGAAAACCGGTTTGGCTCAGTGGATAGAGCTTCGGCCTGCGGACTGATTCGATTCTGGTCAAGGGCATGTACCTTTGTTGCGGGTACATCCCCAGTGGGGGGTGTGCAGGAAGCAGCTGATAGATGTTTTTAACTATCCCTCTCTCTTCCTCTCTATAAAAAAAAAAAATCAATAAAATATATTTTAAAAAAAAAAAAAAAGAGTGGTCTCAGACCAGCATTATCTTAGGACCTTGTTAGAAATGCAAATTTGGGTAAGCCATCCCAGATCTTCTGAATCAGCAATTGTAGCAATCTATGATTTAATGAGACTTCAAGGTTACACATTTAAAAACCAATATGCCAGAGTATGCTAATCAGGAAGGAGGTATGTGATACCTAAAAATGGTTCTGAAAGAAAGAAAAATGAGTTACAAAGCCAACTCAGTCAGTGTCATTTACTAGGTAGGTGGGATAGTGAAGTTGGTATTGGGTTACTAAATTGTGCTATTTTGGAAAGGGCATTAGAAAATGAGAATATGCATAATATAGTAATTCCATACTAAAGAGAATAATGAAGTTTTACAGTTGCCTATCAGAAAACACTTTTTTCTTGGGTATTTCTTTTAAACTTAGGTCCTCAGAGTTAGACCATCAAAGTACCTATTCATCCACTGCCATTGAGTTTACATGTAGCTTGTGTTTCAAATCTACTGTGTGTTAGCATCCCAATGCTCCAACACTCCCACCAGCCTTTTGAATGTAGGAGGTTGGACTGGCAGGTTATCACCAGCTCTTGGGTATCACTGACCTCTCTTCTCTAATTGCTCAAGCAGGTTTGATATCAAACTCACTACTCTACTTTGCAGAATTACCTCTTTCCCTTTTTATGAAAATTCTTTGGCAATTAAATGCCAATATTTAATGCAGTCCAACACCAATTAGATGCTGAGTTATATTGTTTTCTAGCGTATGTGTCCACAATCCTACCTAATAAAAGAGTAATATGCAAATTAACCATCACTCTGCTATACCCAAAAAGCCATGCCCACCAGCCAATCAGAGTGAGTATGCAAATTAACCCCAACCAAGATGGCTGCCACCACAGAGAGTAGGAGGGAAGCTTGGGTTTCCCTGGCAATGGAGGAAGCCAAGCTTTTCACACACTCTGGCAGGCCTCCACTCAAGGCTACAAAGTTACAATCATAGAAATAAATCCCAAGAAAAATGGCAATAGCCACAGAGCTGGAGAGAGCAAGCTAGGGTTTCCCCCAGCAACAGAGGAAGCCAAGCTTCCCACCTGCCCTGGCTGGCCTAGGCCTCCACTCCAGGCTACAAAGTTTCAATTATAGAAGATAAATATATCCCAGATACCAGGGCCTCGACTTGGATCACTGGAGGATATGGCTGGCCTGCAAACCACCACAGGCCCCTCACTCAGGCTGTCCTATACCCCAAGGGAACCCCCACTCTGATCCAAGACACCCTTCAGGGCAAACCAGCTGGCCCTCACCCATTCACCAGGCCTCTATCCTATCTAATAAAAGAGTAATATGCAGATTGACCATCACTCCAACACACAAGATCAAGATAGCTTCCCCCATGTGGAGATAAGATGGCCAGCAGGGAAAGGCAGCTGGGAGGGACCAGACCTACAAGAGAGGGAAGTTAGGGGCAAACAGGCTGGCAGGGAAACAGTTAGGCATCAATCAGGATGGCAGGGCAGTGGTAGGGGATGATATGGCTGGCAGGCAGACGTGGTTAGGGGCAATCAGGAAGGCAGGCAGGCAAATAGTTGGAAGCCAGCAGTCCTGGATTGTGAGAGGGATCCCAGATTGGAGAGGATGTGGGCTGGGCTAAGGGACACCCCCACACACCCTCATGCACGAATTTCATGCACCGGGCCTCTAATACTTAATATAATACTAAAATACTATACAAATACTGCCTAACCCAATGCTTGGCTTCCTTTGAACAGCTCGCCATCCTTTTAACCAGTTCTGGAATAGACCAGCTCACATCTTTGGACATCAATAGCTCAACTAGTAGGAAAAAACTACTAAAAGTTTATTTGTAAATCAATCAAATATCAATCTTATGTTCAGTCTTACAGTTGTGTTGCCCTTTTCATCTAAAAAGATTATCACATATTTTGATGAGGTATTTTCAAATTACTCCTTTTTACAGATCTTTACTCTTTCTTAATCTAAAATTTTATGTATACTTTCCTTAATCTCAAATCAGTTGTCTATCTTCAGGAACTTTTTATTTTTTTCCAAAAGAGTTAAATGTTTCTACCTTCTTTATTTTTGTCTATTGTCTTTTTTCTTTTTCTACTCACCTTGATATTCTGTCCTTGTTTCATTTATAGTCTCGTGTTCTC